GCCACCTGTCCACTAGGAAATGCGCTGAGACCCTCAACTCAGCTTACATCAGCCAGAGAACAGCTGCCAGATGGTAACTACTTTTGGTCACTACCAACCTGGTTGAATTTGAACTGGTGACCTAGAGGTGAAATGCTTTATATCCTATTACTAATTCCCTGAGGTTTCCAGTTTCCCATCCATCACTTTTTTCAAATGACAGCCCAGTATATGTCTGAAATCTCAAAACAATTACTGCTTCATATAGGCAGCCTGGGCTGCAGTATCTGAGATGTGCCTCTGGCTCTTGTAAAGCTTGCACATTTCCCTTATGGGCTTGAGACAGGTTAGTGCCAAAAGGGCATTTCCAAAGCTGTGTGGGAGCTTCCCTTCTTCCTTAGCAGTGAGCTTTGTTAGGATTAAATATGCCCTTTGTTACTTTTGCTAACTACTGTACAACAGAAGGCTTTTAAACTCCCTTTAATTGCTGTGATGATGTTGCATCCTCTGAAGGATAGTTGAGATTTTTATGGTTTTTCTCATTCCCGTTAGAGAAATGATTTCTCTAACTGGCTGCTTGTTGACTGTGTGTGGTAAAAGCAGCCAAAAACACCCGAACATTCTTCTGTCTGTATAATTCATGAAAGCTTTGAAAGATCTGTTACCAGAAGAAGGCCTGTGGCTCCCCGCGATACCTTTTGGTTCCTCTCGAAACTTACCCTCCAGTCCCCAGGCCAACACTTCTGTAGTGCATGATGCTTAGGAGTGCCTCTTTGTTGGCAGGGTGCTCTCATACCACGAGTGGGAAATTTGAGCAGGGAATGCTGAAGAATTTGTAGAATGAACGGTGCAGTGGAAAATAACTACCTTTCATCAAACTCCGTTGATAGCTGTGATGTCTGATGCCTTTGGGAGAGGCTCATTGAGTGCATCTTATGATGGGGAACAACAGTGCCTCAAGTTTCTCTATTCTGCGCTTCCAGCAGTGATTGAATCGCAGTCAGTTACAAAGAGGATGAGGTAGCTGATTCCTCAGAAGCAAATGCAAAGTATTTGGGGAAAACAGTTACGATTTGGTAAAGGGTTGTTTTCTTTCTAAGCTTAACCGAGAAACTGCCATAATCGCTGTTTTTAAGGGAAAAGTATGCAAGAGAATCTCAGTCATAGAGTCACTAAGGTAGGAAAAGACCTCTAAGATCATCCAATCCAACCATTCACTTATCACCAATAGTTCCCACTAAGCTATGTCCCTTAGTAAAACATCTAAAGGTTTCTTGAACACCAGAGCTCTCTCCTTAGGGTAACTTACCATGGTTTTTAAACCAATACACCAACTATGGCTTGGAGCAGATCAAACAATATTGATGCTTCAAGGCTGGGATTTTAAACTATGTGGCCAAGTCTTTGTCTTGATATGTTCTTGATCTTAGGTGATAGCTTTTCTTCCACTTCAGTAATGTGTCTCCCCTTGCAGCCAGGTGTCTGCGCAGCGTGAGCAAAAGCTTTGCTTTCATGGTGATTGGTTTTTTATTTCCCTTTGACTGATTTCACACCTTTGATATTGCTATATTGCTGCCTGGCTTGGTTCCTGTTTGTGTGCCCTCTTAAGAAATAGCTGATGTGTGTGAGGGAGCCTAGTAAGCTGTTTTGCATCAGGAAAGCTAAGAAAGCCACTGCCCCAAAGAGGTAACTGTCTGAAGTAAGATCTCAGGTGCCAGAGGGATGGGATTTTTGGAGCACGTAAAATAAAGTTGGGCTGTGAAATGCAGCTCTTGCTAACAGAGCAAATGGATTTCACCAGCCTGCAGATCAGTTACAGAGCTTGCACTACTTGCCTTTTACGCTCTCAGACTTTTTTACAGGATAAAAAACCACAATGATTATCACAAAATAAATGAAGCAAAAATATGGGATTTGGGTACTGAAAGTCCACATCACCTTAATTCCAGAATCTCAGTTGTGCTAAGGCAGGCTGGTTAAGTACTGCCGTTGGGTAGGAGTAAGGTAAGCAGGAGGAATTCATCTCAGCATAGTAATTGTTCTGCATTACCATCACCAGCAACAGCATCCAATCCTCAGCTCTAACTGGGATTTTTGTTTTTGTGATTGCATATTGCTGTGACTGCTCATAGGAGATCTAGAATGTGAAAGATGGGTTGGGATGAAGAACAGCTGCAGTTGTTCCTTTGTCCTTCCTTGGGGTCTTTGAGGAGACATGGCGAATAGCTGTTGTTCTCCTCAGTGACAAATATTAGATATTCTGATGGGAAGAGGTTGCCTACTCTTTTTCCAGTCATTACACATTTTTCGAGAAATCCTTCTAGGCTATGTGTAATATAAAATAGAGATTGCTGTTCCAGGCATGTGTGTGTTAATATACTGCAAAAAAAAAAAAAAAGGTGGATATCCATGTTCTAGAGCTGGATGGGGCCAAGGAAATACATACATACACATACATGTGTTTATCTTCTGTAAACGTGCAATAGACTTTCATATACATTGGGACTTTCAAAGTAAGGCCAAGATCATGTAATCTCCTTCAATGAAGCCAAGAGGAAGGTGAGATATATTTGGCTGGCTCTAACAAACCCTAAGATGGTCCGTATGTAATAATATATCTTTGAGTAGGCTGTTTTTGCAGTGTCATCATACTGAGCAGAGTCGGATTCTTCCTTGGCTCATCCTGGACACCAGGTTTATATGACCTAGAAAAAAAAAGAGGGGGGTGTGTGGGTATGTATTTTTAGCTGAACTAAAGGGTATAATCAAGGTTAAAAGATGAGGCTGAAGCAGGAACCTCATGGAAACAGGCACTTTTTAAAATAAGTAAAACGAAGTCATCATTGTTTCTTAATGGATTACTTTTTAAAGCTCGCTGATACGTGTGGAGAGTCCAGAAAATAATTTCTTTCAAATTAACCAGCTGTTCTTACATTGTGGCTTCATAACATGCAGTTGGGGTTAAAAAACAGTGTGCAATCCATTCCATGTCCATTTTATAGAAAAAAATACAAATAAACTCTGAGCTTCTTAGCAGTGTCTACTTTTAGCAAGTTTGCATTTAATAAGTTCTCATGTTCCATGGCTTTTCTAAAAGCACTTCACCACAGTGATCTTTTTACAGTCCCATGTACCAGCGTTCAGCAGGCCAGGCAGGGTAATAGCAGCCTTGCATTAATCAGCAGCTAGGATTTATATCTGTACCTGTGGCATCACGCTAGGATAACCTAAAATAAACAGCAGGGTGTTTATACTAGTCACGTAACAAGCGTCTTTCTCTGTTTGTCACAAGTGTTTAATTTAAAATGTATCCAGTAAAGAAAAAATTGTTTGGCACTCTGTGTTTCCATTTTAAGTAATCAACTTTAAAATAGCAGCAGTACAGGATATGTTTTATAAGATGAGCTCTGAGGAAGAGGACAGATTCTTTCATCACTCCCAAATGTCTCTGAGGAGATGTGCAGCAGGTGTGGAGCAGGGCGGCCGAGCGCCCCGGGGCTCCATCCTCCTCCACCGCCTGCAGAGCAGTGAGCTGCAGGCAAGCTGCCCTCTGCACCTCTCCTCCTTCACCCCTTTGTGTGTCCCCTGTCCTCCCTGACTTAGGTTGTCTTCTGCATTTGGGGGCTTCCAGGTGGCCGTGGGTTGGTAGGGCAGCGCACACAGTGTCAGCGGTGTGCAGAAAGGGAGTTAGCTTCAGGCAGGAGGGAGTTTGGAAATAAATAGTTAAGGATTGGGGAAAAGTTTTGGGATTACCAGTCTCAAAGCTTTAAAAATCTCACCTGTTCCGTAAGAAGAGGATATTGTTTTATATGAGTGCTGCTTTCTTCAGTGCAATTCACCCTTCGATGCCAGCGAATATGCTACAGGACAGGTGGAATTTTAAGGCTCTGTATTGCATTTCTTGAGATTGGTGCATTGCATAGTCTTAGTTTGCTCACCGTGCTTTCACATAACATCCTGTGCCAGAGTACTGTGAGCTTATCTTGAATTTATTGGACACCTAGCACCTATTTAAACATCTATTTTTAAACCAGCACCATAATGTCAGATTTAATGGGCGACTTCCTGCATTTTTTTCCTTTTATGTTTGAATGTTGCACACCAAAATAGACTCAGTCAGCTAATGATGACAGAAGTAGATACAAAGCCAGTATGAATCTAGAAGTTGCTCAGGAGCAGAAAGCCAGTTGAGCACAATTGTTGTTGTTGATATACAGTGGTAAGTCAAAGGTAAGCAGATTCAGGGTTAAATTTGTGGCTGTTCAATATAGGGTTTCATGTTAGTGAGGGTGCTTCGCATTAGAGAGGCAAAATTTCACTTCCCGATGTTGTTAAAACTTCCTGAGTATGTAAGAGGATTCAACAGGAAAATTTCTCTGATGCAAGTTGCAGTTCATGCAGCCTTACTGCATTGGCTAATTCTTTACAAAAAATATGTATCTAATGGAGCACATATGCTTCTAACTTCAGTTTTCAGTAGACGAACAGCCACATTCCTATGGATGCTTCCTTACAAACTGCTTTTCTTCCTAAAAAAAAAAACCAGACTTGTAGACCTAGAGCATCCAGATGGGAGCTATGAAATACCATATGCATTACAGTGCCCACCTTCAAATGCTAACCATCATGCCAAAAAGATGTTATAAACCTTCAATCTGCGTATGCAGTGAAAGGCATGTAGCTCACTGCAATATCTCTAAGAGGAGAAATAGTATTTTCATTGATTTGTTTTTTAACAGTTGTTAAGTGCAGAAGTCCAGGTTAGCCGTGTAACATTAAAGAACGCAAACTTTCCTTAATTTTCTGATAGCTACAAGTCTAGAAAAGAAATACAACATGAGAAACCTTGCCAAAGAGTACCATATCGTGTGTGTTAAGAGAGAAACTTGTGAATGTAGGAGCGTCAAAGTACAGAATGTTACATATACAGTATGTGTGCAGTTGCATATACATGTTCATAGACATGACTTAAGTTCAGCAAATATAATGTCAAAAATTTGACTCTGTGCCACTTGTTTCAGGCAGCTATTTGGCAGAAGAACAAGGTGTCAGATCACAAAATGGCCTGCATGTCAGTTCTGGGAACAGCCGTTATGGGCAGTATGGTACCTTTTCAACACCGCTGCGAAGATCCTGAGGTGAGTTTAAGCTTCCTTCTCCCAAATCCACTTACAGCCCATCAATGAAGAGCTAAGTCAGTACTCAAAAAAAGAGACTTTGAAATAGAGAATGTTATCTCCAGACTGACATCTGATTAATACATTTGATTCTGATACTTGCCTCTGTAAAATTAATTGGTTTGGTGATTGAAAATGCGCTCCCAGAATCATCTCGTCAGGACTCATGTGGCACTGATCAAATGGCAGTAAAAACAGTTGTGATGACAAATGCAGAATTGCTGATTGCTCAGAGCTGTCTAAGTTAGGATTCCTGGCCTGCGGGCAGGTTGTGCTCTGATTAATAACTAAGTAGCTGTATCGTTCTTATCCTCGTGGCCTTAGCTTCTAAACATTCTCTCAGTTTCAGTCAGGGTCACCAGAAGAGCAAAATAAGCACATGCTTAGAAGGCAAATTTTGTAAGATTTATAACAAGCCTGCTTTTGAAGGAAATGCTTGCCAGCTTTCAAAAAAAATTAAGAGCATGAAACTCTTTTGCTGCTGTTGAAAGTGGAGGAGATGCCCTTTGTCTAATATGTTCACTTTTTTTAAAATTCTGCTTCTGTTTTTGTTGCAGACACTCTTACAGAGGAGAGTAGTACTCCTGCTGAGACTGCAAGGTTAACTTTTCTTTCTGTATCCTGTAGTAGTGGGTCTTGCCCATAGTCATGTAGATGAGATGAATCATTTTTGGCAAAGTGAGAGTACTGAACACAAATGACTGCTGCAAGAAGTTGTTTAGTCAGTCTTAAGCATTCTTACAAACTCCATATTTATAGTATATATAAACAAGGAATCGGGGGGGGGGGGGGGCGCGAAGTTGCTTCTCATAGCTTACAAAGTTTTCATGTTCATGTCAGAACAAGCACAGATGGTCTGTTCATACCTGAGCGCTCGCTGGCTGTGCCCCATATGGCAAGTGCTCTTCAGGGACGACCAGGGGGTATTTAAAAGGGACTAGCTTGAGGGAGGCACTCAGCTTCTCACATTACCTCTTTGCTATATCATGAGGCATCCGTATTCCTTGAATAGAAGTTGGAGAACATTCCATCTCTCTCTCTGTCTCTAAATAGTGTGTAAAATACCACGTGCATCATTTATAGGTGTATAAGTGATCCGTGCATGTTGTGTGTGCACAGAACATTCAGAAACTATGGATATTTCTAATTTAAGCAGGCAAACACAATGAAATGACAGAATTAAGGCTGCCTGTGTAGCCCTTGTCTCTTTCCTTTGCGTGCAGGAATTGGGATAGCTATTTGATGACAACCTGTGTGCCACTTTTCCCTTCCCATGCAGTCTGTGTCTCATTTAGTGCACAGATGAGAGCAGCACTAATACTTCATTTCCTACTTGTCCATTGTGCAGCTTCCTAATCCTTCACTGCAAAGTCGACTCTGAATATGAAATCAGTGTTGCTATAAACCTTTTGTAAGCTGTTCCTTACTAACTGCACATTGAAATGTTCTGCAACAAGTGATTCATGCATTTTGAAGACTCGCCTTCTCCAAAACTTCCCTATTACGAGCACTGCATGAAACAAGAACATAGTTCATGTTGGCTCCAAGGCATGGAAAAGTTGGGAAGTACTCACAAAGTAGAAAGCAAACCAAAGAAAATAAAGAATGGACAGTTTGTCATGTGCAAAGCATCATCTATGCTTTTTGCATCCCCATTCTTGGAAATGGGTGGATCCAATTTGGCTGCAAAGTTTCACTCAGGAAACTTTGACAGAGAAAGGAATTCCTATGGAATTCCTAGGAATTTTCCTATATTCTATGAGGGTTAAGTTTGGTGGGTATACAAGTTGCTGGGAACAAGGTGAGCACTGAAGAAAGGCTTACTGTCCAATCAACACAGATATACTGTGATATGTACATATATTTAATATTCTCCAGTCTCTGTAATTTTGCCTGAATTAAAAAAAAAATATTTTTAAACATTATAATTTTAATAATTAAGGTTAGTTTTGGAACTCATTACTAACTTCTAATGAGCATACTTGATATTCCACGTGTCTTTAAATAGTAACAGCAGTCAGCCATTTCTTAATCTGGCAGCTTCTTAAGTGACTTATTTAGAGACTTTCAGTTTTGTTTTAATGTTGTCTGTATATAAAAATACTGTTTGAAGTGAAACAGTAATACAGATGTTTGGAAACTGGAAAAGAAATTTGAAGCATAAAGAAGGGACGTTCAGGGAGGATGTGCTAAAGCTGCAGGATAACATCGAGAAGTGCTGCATGTTGTTTTTTGATAATCATCCAGCAGATATTTGACACCTCTTTAACTTGACCAGTGGTGTTTGGTTATGTGCAACATTGCTGACCAGAACACTCCAGCTTTAGCACAGAATGCTTGTTACAAGGTCAGGAGGGAATAAGGGAGCACATGGGCAGAGAGCTGCTGTGACGTAGGTGAGTGGGGAGGATAGGCCAAGTCCCAGGGATTTTAAGTCCCATTTCAAATGCATGATGGCTTGGGTCTTAGTATGTGCAAGAGGTTCTGCCAAAAGAAAAACCAGAGAGATCTGATTTCTGTATTCTGTGATCCACCCTGCTACCAGAACGTTCTCCATACTTTCCCACGTATCCAGAATTCAGTCTTTGCTTTGCAGCAGCCCCACACTGAGCCCTTAGCTATTTGGGCAAACTGCAGTGGAGCAGCACGTGGGGCAGTACTTGAGCTGGCTGGCACATGTCAGTGCTGGTGGATCCTGTCTTTGGAGAAGGTACGATTGCCTTTTCTGCAGAAGGGTCATTATTTCAAGGGTGTCCTGTCCAAACAGCTGTCAGTTATCACAGAAATTGTGGAAATACAACATCTTTGGGATTTCTGCTTCTTTACCAGATATAATTGAAATCATTTTAAGGGCTCTCAAGTTGTTTGGTGGAGGAGAGGAGGAACTGATGAGGCAGGCAGCACGAGTCATTGGCCTTGTTTCAGCTGGGGGAAAAAAAAAAAAAAAAACAAACACAACAAAGCTAAAAAGGCTTAATGGAGAAGTTATAAAATTTGTGCTTAATGTCAGGTACTTGAATTGTATGATGTGTTCTGGGCTCCTTATCAGGGATGGGTGCATGCAGGTTCTGCTCGAGGCTGAAGGCAGATGATTTGCATGCTGGTGGTATAGGTAAATTGTGGTGCCCTGAATAAAGGCTTGACAACAGGCTATTTAAGATGCCCTGAGTGTGGAAAGAGAGGGAGTTCATCTTTAGATTTTGTACCTTAGGGTGAGCTCACTACCAACTTCTCCAGGCTGGACAGCAGGCAGACTGCCTTCAGCTTATACCAGCCGTAGTTGGCAGCCCTGCAGTCAGCAAGTATGCACTTAGCTGGCGTTGGTTTGTTGGCTCCAACCATCTCCAACCCCAGCTGCAGACAGCAACCTGGTGAACCTGCAGTCCCAGTAGGAAATGTCTCAATGAGGGGTAATAGAGACAGAAGTATCCTTGTCAACCTCTTTTCTTATACACTTTAACACTTAAATTGCTTGAATCATAGAATCACAGAACCACCATAGTTGAGAAAGGCCTCCAAGATCATCCAGTCCAGCCACCAGTATTTCCTACTAAACCATCATAGCTCTGAAGAAGCAATGCACGTATTCAAATGGCTGGGCCTCCTGTGTGTTTCACTGTAATTTCCCACCTCAAAAACATATTTTTGACATTGTCTTTTAAAGACCTTTGTGCTGTATTTGTTCTATCATTACAGATAAATCTTTCTGGATTTCTCCCAAAGGCTGAGTCAGACAGCTCTTTGACAAGTCTCTCAAGCTCAGAACGGAGTTTTATTTTTATAAATGATCGTCCAGTTCATCAGAAGGAAATATTAAAGGTAACACCCTCTAGCATTTACAACCGCAGACCTGAAGGCTGTAGTTACAGCTGCTTGAAAAAATAATGAATTTCGGATATACAGGAGCCCAGGATAGTTGATTATTATTATTATTATTTTTTTTACTATTAGCCTAGCAGAATTAGACCTGTGCAGTTTTTGATGCAGGAACTCTATGTGGTTTCCCACAAGACATGTTTTCTGAAATAAAAATCATAATTTTGTGCACTTCATACTGAGGGCTTACCAGGCTTTCATACACTTTCACTTTAAATCTGTGTATGCGTTCAATAAAAATGAAAGTGATAGTGCAGAAGCACTGGCTACAGCTAGGCATTGTGTAGGCAGAATTTGATACTCTTGGGTTTCTCACACTGCTGAACCTTGCAGCACCTCACTTGGAGCAGCATTGCTGTTCTAATCCTTGCACCTCCCAGAAAAGAAAATTCAACGCATGCTGAAGTATACACGTAGGGTTCAAAGTGGAGAAAATGAATTCATTTTCAGTCTACGCTCAGAGTTTTGTAGATATAAGCCCTGAACTTGTGTTTGTGTTGTAACTGACGAACAAGGCTAATCCTGTACTACATCTCCACCCAGAATTTGATATACCTGTTTCTTGCTGCAGCGTAAGGTTCAGTTTGGATCCCATAAAAGAGGCAACTTCTTAACCAGGGGCTGGATGGGGTTCAGGGCACCATAATGCCAAGTAAAAATACATTGTCCTTCATTTATGGCTGTTCTTGGAGTGTGGATTCCTTTTATTTTGACCTAAGTTCTGAAACAACTAAGGAATTTTTTGGTTGGTTGTTGGGAGTTTTCAAGGGGATTATAGAGAAAGCAGTAAGGGCAAGCAAAGTTTGTGAAAAGTTGTAAATTTATAGTTGGGTTAACAAAAGGAACAGACTAATCCTGTTCTGGGAAAAGGTCAACTCTGTGGTGCAAGTGTTACTTTCTCAAACAGACTTCGGTTTGGCTGAAAGAGACAGTGATGTAGTTGCAAGCTGTGTAAGTAGATTGTCTTTAAAAAAACAAACACAGAAATAATAGCATTTGGGTTGAGTAAGGAAGTAAGCGTTAGAATTGCAGTCTTGTTTGGTCATTTTTAAGTACAAGCATATCAAGTGTGTTTTTCCAAATATGATCGATGTATTTATTCAGAAGGTCAAAGCAGCTTCCATTTGTTTCTTGGAATTTGATCTTTTTTTGTTTTATTTTCATGTTTATTTAGCTGTGAATACATGGGAACCACTAGTAAGTCCTCTTCTGGTGATTATTTTGTCACACGTGTGTATTCAAATATTTTCTTAGCGTTCTGTTAATTTGGGGAAAAAATAGAGTTAGAATTTTATAACATCAAATTTTGTTCCTGTGCCTTTATTTGTATTTTGTTGCCTTTACTGACATCTCTTTACTAAATTAATCTGTAGTTAATTCGACAGTACTACAGTGTGCTGATGCAAAAGGACAGCACGCGCTTATACCCTGTGTTCTTTCTGAATATTACTGTACCTGCCTCTGCTGTGGATGTGAACTTAACACCTGATAAAACTCAAGTTCTGCTGCAGTATAAGGTAACTAATGTCTTATTCTGCTGTTGAGCTGGCAACTTTTACTTATGCACAGGTAATAAGAGCTTCTGGAACTGCTGAAATGTGTGCAGGTAAACAGTGCTGCTGAAGTATTTTAGGAGGATTATTCAAAACTCATTTCCTAGTTGATTTTGAACATCATTTATGTGCTTCCACACACGTGTTTGTTTCCAGTTAGCTTTATAGTGACCAAAGCTAAATGTAATTGCGATGTGTGTCCTTAAATAAATCTCATGCTTAGATTCTCAATGCACTAAGTAATAAACATTTATAACACTGCACACATTATGAAGGGGAAGTCGGTTTCTGCTGAATGCGCTATTTGCTGTTATGTGCTTACATAATTGTTGACATCACTTAAGTTTTGGGATATCCTGTTGATACCATTTAACTAAATAGTATGTGCCCACATTTTAGAAGTTATCTAGTGATACATATTATGTAAGTTTACTTTCACTGTTTGGTACTTCACAAAAAAAGTAATGCCACAGAAATTAACAAAGCTATTCACATTGCACGCAGGCAGTCACACAGGTAAGTTTAACTTTTTCAATGTAAGTTCTTGTAGTTGACTGTGTTAATGTTGAAAATGCATTGCCGGTGAAGCACCACTTATATCAAAAATAACATAGCATTCTCACACCCGTTCTAGTTGAAAACTTTTCTTTGGTATTAGAAAGAGGGTTGGGATTTTCTTGTTTGTTCCTTATTTGCATCATTTGCTGCAGAAGTGTCTTGGCAGCACCTTCACAAGCGTGCTTACATCAGTTGGAGTGGTGCTGGTGCTTCTGTCTTAGCTGTGAGCATTTGATGCTGTATGAAGTGGGAATCGCTTTACTCGATATGGTTTTCAGCAGTCAGCCCACTGTGCTATAAGGAAAGCAGTTAATCACTTCCATGATTTCAGTGTGAACCAGTGAAGAAAAACACCTATCCCAAGTATTTGAGGTGAAATTTGTCCATTTTAGAGCCTTTTTTACCATGTGTTTAAAAAAAAAAGCCATAATCTCTTCAGATTTGTTTTGAAAAATTCTGAATAAGATCACTTGGCTCTGTATTCTCAATATCTGTCAGTTGTGTATTTAGGTTTTTACTTATGCTTTCTATGTGTATTTTTTTTCTGGTTGTTATTTTTATTTATTTGTTTGGTGGGTTTTTTTGTTGTTTTTTTTTTTTTCTTCTCAGGACTGTGTCTTATCTGCTATTGAAAATGTGCTGAAATCTTTGTATGGGCCGCTACCTGCTACAGCCTCTGGTGAAGCTAATAAAACAGATGTTACCTCAGAAGACACGTGTGTTCATAATGCAGGACAAACAGATGTGGTTGTTAATGAAAAGGAACCATCTGGAAACAATGATCTACATGCTCATACTTCATTCCTTTCATTCAGCAGTTATGTGCAAAGTTGTCAAGCAGGAAAAAACACAGAGATCTGTTTAAACCATCAGATATTCTCTGGTGATACTGTACATAGTCGCCTAGAAAGAAAAGAGGCTTCTAAGAATGATGCCTTTCAAGAGGGTTCCTTACGTTTATTGTGTGAGGAGGAGCAGAGCAGACAAAATACAACTGGTATTTCAAGTAACAGTGCTCCTGTAGATCCTGGGTCTAAAAAAGATGGTGGACACCTTTTGAGTTCTGATAAAGCTGAAGAAGCCTTAGTCCCTGAAGACTTACCTGAAATCTCTGCTGATAATTGGAGTATGGGAAATGCATTTAAAAACTCCTCAGGAGACAACCTGGAACCTGTTAAGGTTTTAATTCCTGAAGCTGGAGGAGCAATTAATGAGCAAAGTGAGCGTAGTGATGAACAAAGCCACGATCCACAAATCCCAAATCAAACTGTAAAGAAAAGAAATGTAATAGATGAGAAAACAGGACAAGTAACAGGTTATGACTTAATTCATGGTCGAACAATAAGGAAATCAAAGTCTGCATTTGAACACTTCATCCAAGAACATCGTTCAAAATTATTTTCTGAAAATCCGAGGTGTAGCATGAAGGACATCCTATCAAAAATTGAAGAGCTGTGGAAGAATTTAAATGAAGAAGAAAAGCACAAGTAAGTTTCCAGGCTTCATCTTGCTTCTAAATCTAGCAGTTAGCAATGAGCAAATGAGTCATCTGTTGTGAGTGGGAGAAAGATTCTGACTTCCCAGTTATTTATGAAAAACAGAACAGAAAATTATTTTTGTCTTTCCAAGGTCAGCGATGGTATTGTCTGACATGCACTGCTGATTTGAGTTACTTGTTTGGCCACTGTATCTGCCGTGCAGCAGTTAAGTAGGGACAATTTCCTTGAATTGTTATTTAGAAATAACAGGCAAGAGCTGTGCTTTGTGAATCATACAAACATCAGCTTTTTAAGGGCTTGCCTGTGTCTCTTCACTTAGAAGCACTGTCAATGAAAACCAGCGCGGTGATGAATGAGGCACTGTATCGTTCCTGCAGAACTTTTTCCAACCAGCAGTTTTCTTTTTATTGCTTTAAAGTGAGAATTCTCTTTTAGGATCTTTAGTGCTTGAACATTTGGAAAACTCCTTTCCCCTATATTTAGTAAGTATCCCAACCCAGTCTTTCTCCTACCCCATTATTGTATGTATAAAACCCAGTCAAATGACACAAGGAATTTCTTTCCCCCCAACAGCTATTCCAGTGCCTGTTCAGAATATAGTACAGTTCAAATGCTAGTGGGTCCTTTGTTTCACTCTAAATCAAACCTCTTTTCAGATTACAGTCTGAATATCAACATTTCCTATTCTAGACTGTTGCATCAGTCTAGAATTTTTGAAATCCATCTGCAAGTAAGGAAAATATTTTAGCTTTCTTTAGTTTGGGTTTTCTGATACATATATATTTTTTTTTTTTAAGAGTGGGGATCTGGTGGTCAGTTAGCTAAAATGTATGTGGAATTTATATTGCTGGGAAAGATCAATTAGAATGACAGATTTTAAGGCATTCTAAGGCAATTCAAAATGTGGGAGGTTCTTTTAATGTTGCGAGAGATAGAATCATACAAAGGAGAAATAATAGTTCTTCAGCAGTTTTACATGTTTATTGTCAACACAGTCACTTAAGTGTTGTGAAAATGTATTTTTTTAGTGGTACAGAAGTGAAAAGAGGGGATTAAGGAAGCCAGCAGACAAAATAATGTAATTTTCACACTGCTGAGAGATTTGATGAGGAGAATGGTGAGAAAAAGAAGCTATACCTGTGGAATTGAGATCTCTAAGCAAGCAGAGTGTTCCGATCACAAAACCATGCGTGTGAGAAATGGTGTTTAGCCCACCTCTCCTTCAGCAGGAATATTAATGTACTAATAGGAATCTACTCCAATTATATTCATGCTTTTAATGAAACAAAACAAAAGGTTCTGCCAGCTGCTTCAGAAAATTTTAATTTGCTCTGCTTTAGCTTTTGGGATTTCATGGTTGCTTTCCTGGTACAACTGTTATGTTTAAGAGCGTGCCTACAGATTATGTTAGTTCAGAAAGGAGACCTCTCTGGTAGTGGAATTTTTCTTACCTATAGAAATAAATGCAGTATGGCCCAATAGATGTTGGAGTCAGTGAAAGATTTACCACTAGTTTTAACAGTACTTTTCAGCTTTGGTATATCTTTGTTTCACTTTCAGTCTTTTAAAATAGCCCCAGAAAATAATAACTGTAAAGAGATTGTAGCTAACTTTTCCTTCAAGGCAGCAATCCCAAAGAACTGTTCCATGTCTGCCAGAGAGCGTGTCTTTGCCTACCAGACACTCTGGATGAATTGGGCCACCTAGAGGTAACAACAACTGTCTATAGAACAAGGCAGCCAAAGGGCCGTGCTCCCACTGTGCCTCCAGGTTCAGGCAACCTTTCTGGCAAGACATCACTTTTCTGGGCTCTAGACCTCTGTCCTTCTGCCACGAAGTCCCATGTTTAGGTTACAGTACGCTCGGCTTCAGCATTTCTGTTTGTGGCTTCTCTAGCAGGTCTAAATGAATTTAAATCCCTTTTTGGGAGCAGCACAACCAACAGGTGTCACATAATTACATGGAATAGCCTATTCAAAACAAGCCAGCGCTCATTACACAACCAGAATGTGAAATTTTATGGTTTTTAAGTTATAATAGAAGAGAAAGCTTCCATGCCTGTCCATATTGGCAGCATTGCCTATCCCCTTGCTTTGCAAAGCCAGAATTTAATTTCTTATACTCACTCTGCTCTTTCTTAATACATCTTGTGCATGTGTCTGGCCTTAGTATTTCTTGTTTATCAGGCTCAAGTAGCAGTGGGAGAACTCCATGCATTAGTTAGGCAAAACCCTTGCAGTCAGGTCTTGCAAGGTTAAAGTTTTTCTGGTGGTGGCCTAAAATGAAAGCATGTAGGACTGACTTTGGAATTGTTTTGGTTCTGGATGGCATTTATCAGTACTCTTGTAGTTAAATATTGTCATGTGTTCCAATTGTGTCTGTTCAAAGCAGAGTATTTATTGATCTGGTCAATAGTATGAATGTATTCTGTATTAGAAAAAGTTCTGGTCAAGTGGTTTCATCGATATATTTTAAAAGGAGCAGATGTTTTTTGTCTTAGCGTTTACTCCATAATTTCTAGGACATGATTTATTGCAAGAAACCATTTAAGCTGCCTTTTTTTAGTTAACTAAATATTGGTACCATATGTGAATGCTAGCACATCATAATTAATTGCAAATGGTGACCTTTTTGTTGACCTTAATTTTCCAGCATGCATACACATAATTGAATCAAACTGTTCCAGCAAGTAGCAATAAATAAATATGACCAGTTAAAATATTTATTTCCAATACTTATGTATGATAGCGCTGCCTTTTATTGGAGGTCAGATTGGTATGAATAACCTGACAGAACTTAGAGTATCAAATCAGGACAAAAGGAGGTAGCACATTGCCCCTTTGTCCTTCAAAAAAGTCAGGCTCATACGTGGGAGGCGAGCATAAACCATCTATAAAGCTTTAGCTATCATCTTGATGTTTACAAGCTCATTAAGAATCCCTTCAGGTTTTAGAGCTTTGGTATGTATGGTAACTTAACTATCAAGACAGCATTTAGAATGGCTCGTTACCAAGTCACTTTTTGAAAAATCTATAAGTTTATTATTTAGAGTTCTGTGATAATCATATCTACTCTGGATTTGCATGCTTTTTATTCATGGCTGATCTTATTTGAAGTCACTGTGCTTCTTTACCTTAAGTAAAGCCTGAGGCTTATGAAATTATTTAGCCTCCAAACTCCTAGTTAAATGTCAGGACTCCACTTGAAATTTGCAGTGCTCTGGAAGCTCGAGCGGCCTTGTGAATAGGGTTGGATGTGCCTGTGACAAAACTTCTGAAACTATGTCTAATTGCAAATTCAAGTGAAACATAGTTTTGGGATTGAGGTCGAGGGCAATCTGCTGTAGCTGATTGTATAATGCAGTTTATGTAGCCCCCTTCAACAGTTCAGATTTTCCTGGCTGTCATAATGAAGGAAAATTTCAAACTCATCATCCTCACTGGGTAGAGGTGTAGGGGCACAGTCCCTGATCTCTTTTCCACCCCTTGTGGAAGGCGTATCGATGTGGCTACTTGAGTGAGCCATGGGAGTTCTTACCTTGCTAGGAGTAGTTGCCTTGTCTTTTGGTTTCACGTGTTAGGTGCTGCAGTCTGTGATTTCTTGTTTAGTTCAAATAATTTCTTTTCTTTTTTAAGGTACGAAATAAAAGCTGCTAGAGACCTGGAGCGGTACAACAAAGAGGCTAGCAAAGCCATGCAGGAAGCAGCAAACAGACCTGTAAAGGAGACACAAAAACAGAAGCCCAGGCTGAAGACTCCTCCACCCAACCAGCAGAAACTTGACAAAATGGTGCATTTTCGAATTGATAAGAAACCAAAGTGTAATCAGCCTGTGAAAGTTGTTACGGTGCCTTTTTCTCTGAGTTCCTGTAGACCTCAGTTTCAGAGGCATGAGAAGAATGATTCAGATGGACATGAGCTTTGCCTGATCCGTCGCCAGAGTCTTCCTGATATCTGGATACTTGCTACTGAAAAAAAGCTAATGTTGCTGAATCCATATAGATTGGAAGAAGCCCTGCTGTGTAAAAGGTTGCTGATGAACCATATCCTTCCAGTAGAGAAACTGGACAAGCCAGTTGTGTTATCAGACAGGTAGAGTACAGATAAGGACAAAATTGTAGTTTTTGTTATTTATAATTATCTAGAGTAGGCTGATAAGGCCTTGTTCACAAATTCTGTGACTATTTGAATCTGTAAGGGTACAAAACATAAAAATATCCTCTTACAGGTTAACAAAAGAACAAAGGATGAGCAAGTCTGGTCATTTTCCAGTACAAATGAGTACGAATTGTGACCTGTTTGGAAATGTAGTGAAGACAAATTTCTTCTCCCAGAGGGGGGAAGTAAATGCTCCACATTTTCACAGCTTCACTCTAGCTAACTTTCCCCATGGATTACGGAGTGGCTGTCATAATTATTACTATTTGTCTAAACTTGGTCATTCTGTAAGATATGTAAATAGTTGATATTCTGTATTTCTTCTTTAAAAAGACTGCTTTTTTTCCAAAATACTTTTCAAAATCATAATCACTCTTGATATCTGACATTTTTAATGTATTTTTCTGAGCAGTTTTAATTTTAAAATTAAGGATTTTTTAACCCTTTGGGTGTTGGCTTGTGCGGTGTTGCTTTTTTTCCTAGTCTTCTTGGTGAATCTCACTACATGGATGCTCTTCATAAAATGCAGAAGGATTACAAGACACTAAATGGATCAAGTTATTTGTCAGACCTGAGGCTTGTAGCAAATGGCTTCCAGATAAAAGTGATAGAAGGTATGATGGTTTTAATGTCTTTTAATCTGACTGAAGCTTCTTTTCTTCTGATTTAATGATTTAAATGATGTCTATTTTGTTGTCCTACATCGCATTATCATTGAAAGCACCAAGATCCTGTTTTCTTAAACATTAAGATTCTATTACTTTGCTAGAGATGTATTCATCTATATACAATAGTGATTAATGGAAACTGATAACAGAAAACATGAATAAAAAAGGAAGGGTATGTAGCTGGTGGTATAACCTCCTCTTTACACATAAGCATCTCGTGACATTTTTATTTCTTTTCTCAAAATGCTGAATTGCCATTCTGGCAGAAATGATTAAACTGATGAGACTTCTACAGTCAAGGCAGCTTCTTCGAAGATGAGAGTTACTTGCAGAATCTTATGTGAGTGAGTGCTTCAGCTGACTGTCCCTCTTCTATTCAGCAGCTGAGGAGGTCCAGTAAGGAGATGGAACTGGTTACAGGTCTTCTTTCATACCAGGATTGTAGCACAGTGCCCAAAGGGGCCGGTCAAGAGTGGGTCAGAGGGTCATCATCAGCTGTTTTGGTAGAGGTTGGTCTCCACTCTGAGATTCTTTCAGCTTAGCAGTAAAAATTAAGTGCTTATAGGTTTTTTTTTTCTGAAGAATAATTTACAGTGATGCTGTTTGAAATCCAGAGGCAACCCGCCCAGAATCAATTCTGAGCAGCAGGATTTCTGCAGCAGAATTCCAAGAAAAGCAAACTTCCTTGGGGGCAGTACCTAGCTGTGACAGCTCAGAGGAAAGGTTCACTATAGGAGCTGTTAGAAATGCTATAGCTTCATGTGTTACAGATCCCCGCATATGTACAGTGATGACAGATCTGCTCAAACATATGGGATCTTTTAGGAGTAGGTATGAGAAAGGGATGTACAGTAACTCCTTCTGTCAGGGGCTGGCTTTTGGGCAGAACAGAGCCTAAGCTGTTTTCTTTTCTGAACCACGTACAGCAAAAACAAGGATGCTTCCTTCTGAGTGGCTAAATCCTGTGATTAAATAATGAGAGCTGTCTAGAAGTGTTCATGAAAGCAATTAGATTGAATCATTAAGGGAATCAAGTACTTGTGGTAAGAGACAGCTCTTAAGAAGCTGTCAGTCAAGCAAATAAAAAACTGAGCAAATCTACAACTTGTCTCTAGACAAATATGGGAAGAAGGGATTGGAGGCCTTATTGCTTATGTACCTTCCTATTTTTTTCCATCTTTTTAAACTGGATGTGAATAAATTTTTGAAGACCGTTTTCAGTCTTGTGGAAATGGGAAAGGCAATCTACTTTCAAAATAGTTTGCTTAGTACAAGAGTGAAATTGTATGATACAATGTTATAGGACTCATGGCAGTAACCAGGAAATAACAATTGTTTTCCTGTGTCCCTAACTATATAAAATTAAGAAAATAAAGTCTTGTGAGGAACCTTGTCCTTGTTTACTATGCAGTTGAAGGAAAGTACAAACAGTGCTCTGTTAGCTTTACGTGCACTGTACAGGTTGAGGAACCATTTAATCAAGGACTTGATGGTTACTGTATAGCCAGCCTACCTGAGGAATGGAAATCTATTTCAGTTCTTAGTTACAGTCTTATATTTTAACTACTTGAATGAGACATTAATAACATTTGAGGCTTGTCAGTCATATTTATAAGCTTCTGCTAATGATGTTATGGCAGTTACAGCCTCTGTTATAGCATGTTATTGCAGATGAAGGTAGAAATGCCAACAGAAAAAATGGAATTTCACCCAGCCATTTTTTCCAACTGACCTATGGATTTTTACTTAATACTTCATCAGTTCCTTTTATTTTTTTTCTTCCTTTCCTTATTATTTTCCCTTAAGCTTAGCTCTGAAATGCACTATTATCTACTTCTGTTACAAACACTTTATTGAAGTTATTTTTCAGAAACATGAGTATTAATTATCAATGCTCCTTAATGGTCTGTTCTAGAAAATTTCTCTGTGTAGTTTGAGGTTCTTTAATTTAAATATCCTTGTATAATCTTGATGTAAAGCTTACACCTGAATATTCTGTGGGACTTGTTAACTTTGGGAACAAGTTCATTTCATTAAATATTCTACAGTGTCCTTTGTTTTGTCTTGTGGTTTGGTTTTTGTTTTCTGTTTTTGTTTTTTAAACTCAGACACAGCCTATAAACAGGACATTTACTCAGTTGTTTTTGAACTTGAAGTTGCCTCAGGTTTTGTTTCTTGAGTATGTATTAATAGACAGAAATTCTCTTTTTTTATAAGCAGAGGTTTTCCTTTCTTTATCTTTGCATTTGAATGTGACAGTTATATCCCTACTAATACTTTCTTGCAAAGAAACAAGTAGTTGAATTAATATTTCTGATTAAGTCTGTGATGCCATCAGTTGGTCCTTAACTCTTCTACTATCCAATTTGTCAGCTCTCATAGATCTTGTTTTAATTGCTGTTTCTTAATGTAGACTTGATTCAACTCCTGTGATAACTTCATACCCTTGTTCTTCCTAACAAGGACTGTGTATGATTTTGTTCTACCATTTTATTGGGAAATCTTTGAACTTGTGGCAACATTTTCTGCTTTCACGAGTCCAGCCTTTAGACAGTAGTTTCTCCAAGAGTGCAGGAGTTCCAGACCATGCTTGGGTATGGTTTCTTTTAAGGCTACATCTGTCCTTTGAATATTCTCTTGCTGTAAAATGAGAATGTAGTTTACCTGTCGTTTGAGTGATTGCAACCAAAGCTGTTTTAAGTGTTCTAGATGTTGGATGTGCCATGTTCTCTTGTTTGGTAGACCAATATTTTTGTTTCTTTGTCTCTCTATATTGATTGCTCAGCACTCTAAAGAGTTTTTAACTAGATTTTTCTCTGGATAGCTGACAGTGAAAAACATGTTGTGAAATAACTCAGGAAAGTTTCTTGGCATAAATGTCACTTGGGCAAAATCAATGTTTTTTTTGTGGAACATGCCAATTGTGATCCTCATAAGTGGAGACGCTGAGCTCCGGTCCTCCTTCACCTCCCTCCCACCCACTCAGTGTTCTGGCCTTGCTGAGTCTTCAAGTGATGCTGCCTTTGAGAGAGTGCTCTTATTGCTTTTACTTCTGGGTTCCTCCTGGCATTTGTTTGCTGAGTATAGCTTGCAGTGATCGCTATGCGCAGAGAACCATTTCAGGAAGTAAGGATTACTTTCCATCCAGTTCTTATCATATTTATGATATACAGATGTTCACAACAAATCCATTTCCTCTGGGAAAACTTGAGATGGGTGTAAATGCTTGGGTGGAAATGAACTGAGAACTGTCTTACCCTTTTTTTTTAATCTGTGTGCCTTGAACTAAGGCAAAATGTTAGAGTCGAGCTGTAATCTTAATAGAGTACACATATCCAAACTATGTGTGTACAAAGACTGTTGATAAGGTTTCAAAGAGCAGTAACACACAACCAACCTGCTTCCTTTGGTAATACAAGCTGCTGCTTGTAAACAACCGGTGGAAAATCATGCTGCTGCTTTACTTCAGTTTGATTTTGATCGAAGTCTGTAAGCTAGGTAGTCTTACAGTGTCACCTAATCTAGGTGGCAGCTGGAAGAGAACAGATTTTCCTGGCCATCGAAAAGGAATTATCCAAAGGTGATGGTGAATGTTTTGTTTGGACAGACAAAGGGGAAATTTTTAGCAATGAGAAATCCACATTTTTAGTCAGTTGAAAACTAGTTTATTTGTTCATTGAAATATTTTCCTTGGAAGTTGGAAAGGATTTCACAGAATTCACTATGGAAACTGCTTGAAGACTGCTGTTTGAGTACTCAAAAATTTTAACGTATATTTTGTCAAAAATTTACAAGTATATTGAGGTTTGGACATCTGCTTATATCATCAAATGTTGCCAATGTCTGAATTCCTGCAAAGGCTTGCAGATAAATATATGTTAGTCAGCATGCAGTGCACTGCTTTTCAGTCTGAAGAACGTAAGCAGAAAGGGAGAAATAGAAGTTACCAGAGAAGGAGACTTCAGACGTTGTATTATTTGTTTTTATGGTGTGCTCTCAAGTCTGATTTGACCCATAAGTAAATGAACAGTATTGTGAAGTTAAATTTGACTGTCAAAATTTGCATATGGAGAAATTGTTATTGGTAAAACCCCTGAGTTTCAAGCAGTCTCATTAGGAAGCGTGTTTGACTGGTTTACTGCATTTGCAAAAATTTGCTTTGCAAGTCCAGAATCTTACTGTCGTGAAATTTTAAGGGTAGCTGTGAGGATTCAAACTTTTCAACTGGAAATCTTAAATGTAAGGAAGTTCTGTGTCCTGCATTTGGTTGCCTATGCTGCAAATTATTGAAAAGCTGTCAGGTAGGATGTGCTGTTATTGTAGAAAGAGGAGCATAAGCAAGTGATCTGAATCAGCAACACGAGTTTAGTCTTACTTCAAAGCAAAAATGGCGTAAAAATGAAGAGAAGTGGTGAAGGAGATCAACAATGGATTATCTTTGCTGCAGTCTCTTGCAGCCTTTCTTATGGACAAATAGTGGCACTGTATGTGATCCTACCTCATCTTTACTAATGGGCAAACTTGGTTGCTTTCAGCTGGTTCTGATTGCAGGCTCACAGCAGTATGTAAAAATGTTGGGCTTTACTAGCTGAGACTGGGATTCTAAGGGAAAGACAGCCTGAGGAAGAGGATGACAACAATGCTGGATGAAAAAGGAAGTAAAATTCCGAATTTGAAGTGGTGCTAAATATGTTGCTGGGATGAGATTATGTGATTCTTAGTTCCTTGCATCAAATTCCCATTCGGATCAAAATATCTCTTGCCCAAAGCCTGAAAAACTCCATCAGCATGATTTACCTTTATGACATACCCATATTTAGACAACACTTTTCAACCTGTACAGTCCTTCTGTTCATCTGCAGTCTCATTTAATTACTGTCAAATTAACAATGACCAGTCGTGGATAATAATGATCAAATTGCAATAGCTAATGCATTGTCTTGACTTACATTGTATGTATATTTTTGTCTAATCTCTAAAATCTTCAGATACTTCTAGTGCTATAGCTTGTGTATTATTAGGAATATGAACGATCCCTTGTTGCAGTTCTTTAATTTAATCCAGTTTATACCAGTCTGCTTGTTTCCTCTTTTTTTGATTTCTCAAAGTCATTCATGATCCAGGCTGAATGTATGTGATTCTCCCACCTTAGGCCAAAACTAAGGGAGGATTTAATCTAGTTTTAAATTGTAGTGGTGTCACGTGAGCGTGTATGAAGTCTGTCATCGAAATTTTAGATATGCAGGCTTCAGATCTTTCTCTGCAGTGCTGGGAGAAATAACTGCTTTTTGGTTTGGTGGAAGTCGGATTTGTTATGATGGAAGTTGAACTGTACAGATGTTTAAACCAGTTACATAGAAAATAGGGCCAGCATTGTTTTAATTATTTTCAAATTAAATTGTATTTTATTATAAGCTTTTAATTTAACTTAACGTATGTTTTAATCAAAGCTGTAGAAGCTTTAATTAAAGCTATGCTTAAGGCTGGAAATGCTGCAGAAGGTTTTAAGCATTTCAGCAGCACCAGCTAGGATTTGAATTAAATTGAACCTGTAGGCTAGTGATGTCAATATGGACAAATCATCATTTTGAAACCTTGAACAAAGAAACACATTTCACAGGAGGAGTAAAAAAGGTTTCCTAATTGCATTGAATTCATTGTACTAATCTATTAAGTGATTTTAGATTCGTTTAACTTTCTCTGAATTGCTCCAGGGTAGAAATCAAAGCAGTGCATAAATTGCTGTTTTATTTTTTGTGTTTTCAGGTGCTTCAGCTACAGAAAGCCATATGGAAATAGAAGGAATGGCTAATTGTCTGTCCTATTATGGTGTTTCTGATTTGAAAGAAATTCTGAATGCAGTAGTTAATAGAAATGCAAAGGAAGTATATGAATGCAGACCTCTCAAAGTGATAAACTACTTGGAGGTAAGGCATAACAATTTACTTGTAAAGATTGGCTAGCTGAGCTTGTAGCAAGTCTTTAAAATCTCGAAGGTTGAGATTCTTTTTTCAATTTTCCATTGTAAGTAATGTAATTCTTGTCTGAACAGAAGTTACTTTTGAAAAGGAGAGTGCCAGATCCTCTCTGAGGTGTACGGGCTCTGCATTGCTTACAAAAAACTTCCATCAGACATGCCACAAAACAGTCATCCATTGTGATCTAATACATGCTGAGAGTTTATGCTCACAGGGGTTTTTCTGGGTATGCAGTTTTCAGAAGAGAAAGGCATTTCTCCTTGTCAGAATACAGAAAAGTCATAAAATAGTTTTCCAGCTCTTCAATGCAGTTGAATCCAGAACAGTAATCAAGCTTTTATTCCCTCCTAAGTAGATCTGTGAAGGAATAATAAAATGATTTAAGTCATTAGTTTATGAAAAGTAGGAATTAACAGAAACTTAACTCTTGTGTGAACCTCAGAGTTGCATGTCCTGAAAAGCAGAAAGTGCACCATTTCCATTTGATGAAGAAAAATTGCTATGATTCATTCCAAAAGGGGATAAGAGACAAAGAGAATTTTCTTTGCCAAAAAAGCAAGCTGTCACTGAAATAAAGACATTGAAGTGAAAGAAATGAAGTCTCACATGTAGTGAAACCCATATGCTTCTGCAAATGCTTGTATTTAGTTAGCATCAGTAACTTCTGAAGTTAAGGGCAGCACATGCTGACAACTGAGTCTCAGAAGTCCACTCTACTCAAGGCACTAGTGACTAAGTTTTGCAGGAAACCATGTGTTCTTTACCAGCAGCCAGCACTATTCACAAGCAGCCAGAGAAACGGTGCTTTAGTAGAAGAATCTTTAAGCTGTTTTCTTTCAGATGTTGTTATGCAACAGTTGGAACCAGAATTAGTTTTTTTTTTTTTAATGTTTGATATGCAGTAGATAAAATTGTCTGCCCAGAGACAATAATAGGCATGAATTCACAGAGATGGCTAATAAATATGGTACTAGTAAGAGCTGGAATAACTAAAAGAAGTAGTTTTCCATAATTTATTGTCTTATTTCTACATAGTTTACTAATGCCATCTTAAGCCACAGTTCTTGAGATAGCTGTTCAAAAGAATACCAAGGTATATGTTAAGCTTGTTTTTATATAAGCTCTTGCCTGTGTGTTTTTTTGAATTAGAGTACTTAGTGTGGCCCAGGCATTTACATGGAATATATATATAATATAATGTAGTAATAATGTTATAATATAATGTAAATATATATCAACCTTTTGAACATTCATTATACAAATCTTTTGCTGCTTTTTGGGGTCAGTAAATTTACAGCTGCCTTTGTTGTTGTCATGCACTCTTAAGGAAAGAGTCAGTTAAACATTGAGACTGTATGAATGTAACCTCATTTGGAGGTAGAAGCTTTAAGTTCTCTACTTACAAATACCTGTCTTTTGGATTGGGATGGAGTTGATTTGTATGTTTAAAAGGAGAGCGTGTGTATATATGAAGGTACAGTAAAGTGTATGTCAAGAGACTATCAAAGCATTATTAAAAGCTGTTGGTGATCTTGTGAGGAACAGTTCAAAAGAATGTTGAGCAGTAATAGTAGCTGGAAAATGCATATTCCCTGGAAAGTACATGGCTTGCATTCGTGAAAAAGATAAATTTTAAAAGCAAGCACTGGATTTTTATTTATTTTTTACTATCACTTCATGTTCAAAGATGCAGTTTCTGTCCTAAGTTGGAGTAATCAGCATATCTTCTTATTTGGCTATCTTCTGGTAAACCTAGAAGCAAAAATAGAGAACTGGTCAAAGTAAAAGCCTGCTTAAGTAGAGAATGGTCCACAGTGATCATTTTTTCCATTTGGAAGAGAGGGCTGGGGGGGAACGGCTGAAAAGATTCATATTAAAAAATGTTAAATGTTGGTTTCATGCCTTGTGAAGGCATGACAGCCTAAGATAACAGCAGGAAACAAATTAATTTTGAAGCTACTAATTCTTTGAGGGTGTTTGCTAGTAGTGCAGTGTTTAGCTGTCACTTTTGATTTCTAGTACTGTGAGACAATAGCATGAAGTATATATTTAATACAGCACTGACCTAAAATTTCACAATAGTATTTTTAATACTCTGTTTAACTATTTGTTTAATTTATACCAGTTCACAATTTTGTGGTGTAGAATGCATCTTGTGAACTGGTAAATCTTTTCAGGCAACACTGTCACCAACAGAGAAATTGAGCTATTCAGAAACACAGGGACCCTAACAGAAAAAGTGCCAACATAACCAGTAGACTGTGTGTGACTGTTGCAGAAGAGCATGAAATGACCAGTATGCTATGTTTAGAGTTTAATTTGTGTTTCTGGGATTCAGAGTATATAAATGTGAAAGGAAAACAGTGACCTTTCCCCAGTGAGTGCTTCATTCATGCTTTCTGATAGCCCTAGGTTAACATGTTACAAAGCAGAACTTTAACACTGTTGGGTTTTTTGTTTTGTTTTTCCTTTCCACAGGGAGAAGCAGTGCGTTTAGCTCGGCAGCTGCCCTTACATTTGTCAAAAGAAGATGTAGAAAACACAATTTACAGGATGAAGCAACAGCTTGGAAGGGAAAATAAAGGCTGCGTTCATGGTCGTCCTTTTTTTCATCACTTAACAGATATTCCAGAAGTTAACAAGCCGTAACTCCAAGGAAATTATTCAGTAAATGGAACATTTTGTTTGGGATCAGATTTCTCTTGCTTAATTTTGATCGTTATTCTGTAACCTCAGCACGTTTTGTGTGAAGCTTTTGTATAGTTACTTTTCATTATCAAAGTTCACCTTCTTGACTTCTTTTTTAAATTTAAATTCAGATGCTACTTGAGAAATGGAAATAAATTAATATTGTAGAGAAAAGCTCCACTATTTTTAAAAAGAATTTATTAAAGAAATATTCTCAACTAGTTTGATGCTTTTCTCACTACTGCAGATTTAGAAAATATCAGTATGTCAGAATGTTTTAGATATGGTTATAAGCTGCTCTCAACAGAGCGTGGCAAAATTTATTGCACTATGACAAGATATGTTAATTTTTGAAGGAAGCCAGATAGCAGTAAGTTATTTAAGCATTTAATTATGGCCCTACCATATGTGGTTGTTATTGGCACATATTTATGTTGCTGGATTTCTATCTGTAAACTGTTATTTTGTGAAGTCATAGAGTTCAATCTCTGAAAAGCTTTTCTATTAACTGTGCAAATCACTCCAATTATTTCTAACCTTCAGGTGCAAAGTTGTGATTCTTAAAAGTTGAGTACAATGCTAAAACTTCAGATTAATGAAAACCAGTTTATTATTTAAAAGATGAATGGATCAGAGTCAAGAGAGTACAGGTTAGCACTGGAAGCAGATGTCAACACACCTGCAATAGTGCAGTGCTATACTTGAACCATTTGCCATTTGGAAGCAGACAGTCCTCAGTCGAAAAGAGCATGGCATAATTAGGGAGAAATCTGCTATATAAAGAGCTGCTGATGTTGGTAAACTTGTTCATTTTGTTTCTACCATAATTTTACTAGATTATGCCTTCTGTGCAACACGTCTCTGGAAGCTTATGTTTAAAAGTTTCAAACAAGATGACCTGTAAATTTGTGTATGTCCCTAATTGTTTTGTCACAGCACATTTCAGTACTGTGTAACTATGGGAGTTAGCCTAATTTTGCAGTGTTTCTGTGGCTGCTAGGTAAGTGGTTAAAAGGTTGCTGAAAAGCCTGAATCTAAGCTGCTTTGTGGGCAAGAATATCAGAGTGTCAAGGAAATGCATAGTGTGAAAATGCAGATTACTGATATACTGCTCCGTACCAAACATTAGCGGTGAGCTAATGAACGATGCAACAGCAAGTAGTATTTATTACCTCTCCTGATACGTGGAAGGATAGTGCAGCAGCAAAAGTGCGGTAGCAAACAAGGTGCTCCCTTCCTCTTGCCTTGAGCACAAGGAATATGTGCGTTCCTCTTCTGCTGTTCCCTACCTCTTGTGTGCACCTGTCATATGTCAGACTGAGAACAGCTGAAATACTAGGCAGTGAGAGCCTTCAAGAGTAGTAATTAAGTGTAAAGGGGGAAGCAGTAGTCTCTTTCTGGAGAAGGTTTGATATCTGCTGTTACTCTGAGGGAGTCCTAAGAGATAGCTGTGAATATCCTGGCTATGAGAGACCTGCAGAAGGCACGGGGTTGATGTGCTTGACTGAAAAACCAGCAAGAGGATCATGCATCCAAAGCCTGGGTGATCAAGCAGCTGCCACCTTTCTTTTGCACTGGCATTATGTTTCCCAGCTGTGAAAGATCTTAACAGGTTTTGTTGGGATGACTTTAAAGAGAGTGTTAGGAGCCTCATCAGAGGCCTAGCAGTACACTGCAGAACTGTTATACTCACACTGAGGGCAAACCCTGTGGGCAGGAAGGAGTCATTAGAGAAGGAGTCATTGGAGAAGGAGGGGTCAGCAGCACAGGGACAGGGGGAGGAGAACAGAGCGGGGACCAAGAGAGTGCACAAGGAAGGTATCTTAATTTGTAATGAGAGCATGAGTGGAAGACTAGGTTCACGTTGTCTGTAAATGCCACTCAATGCAGAAGATGTGAATTTTCAGAGTGAAAGCAAGGAGGGGTATGGAGGCACAGGAATGAGATGTGACTTTGGGCTCTGAGTGGAAAACAGGATCCTGGTGTGGCAGTGGATGTGGGAGGTTATAGTTAATTTTTACTCTTGTTTGGATACAAACTGTTAAGAGTTGAAAGAGCAGCCCTAGCCATGAGAAATGCCAAAGTCAATACGGAGAATGGATCACCAAGTGAAGAAATTAAATGATTGCATGCTCTGATTTTAGTTGGTTAGGAAGAGTAGTTAGTTGTATGTGCATTAATCTCAGTAAGTGCTACATATATATATGTATATATATATGTATATATGTGTATGTATATGTGTGTGTGTATATATATATATAAATCTCAATTAGCCTATGTAGCAGTTCCTGAGTTTAACGGTTGTTCACTCAAAGGTACACAGGTGAGGTGGGTGGTAAATTGATACAGCCAGCAGCTGCACAGGTGCTGAGCTGGGCTCCGTTGCCATGACAACAAATGAGCAGCAGGCATTTCTGTGGGGCAGGTGTGCTCTGCTCCTGCCTTCCTGCCCAGGCTGGTTGTTCTGTGCTCCGGAGGTACCTCGAGATATCTCCTTCAGGTAGGTGAGCGTAGAGTTCTTTCGGTCTCAGTTTAGGCTTCTTTTAGTCTTTGTGAGGTGCTGAGGCTGGGGGCTGGCAGCGAGTGCTGCAGGACGGCGCTGTGGGGACGAGGCTGTACCTCACCTCAGCAATGGCGGCTGCGGCACTGTGAGTTATAACTGGGACTTGTTCTGATGCTGTGCTGAGGGGAACTTGGTGATGGTTGTAGATAGCTTTGGAGAAGCCAGGCAGTGATTTTGGTGCAGTGGTTCTTGAACTGAAATGCCTTATCAGCTTTGATCCTTGTCTGCTGTCTCTCAGCCCTCGGGTGACATGACAGAGTCTCCTCAGAGCACCGGGGGTATCGGCGGGCAGCAGCCCTGAACTGTGCTCCCTATCGGGAGGGAAAAACAAAGGCTGGAGAGGTGAAACACCGTGTAAAAGCTTGGTTGCTAGTAGGCTCTCCCCTTAAAGGACGAGCTGGAGCAGGACGGGTTGCAGTGAAGCAGGCAGGGAGCCTCAGACCTGGCCCTCTCCACCGCCAATGGCTGGCTGTGGGCATCTCAGGGGAGTTCCAGTATTTGCACTGCCCTCTGCTGGCATTCTATTCTTGTGTAGATCTGCCTGACAAAGTGGTCAACTGGCAGCTCCGGGGCTGGTGACGAGGGAGCACCGTGCTCTCCTTCCAGTCAGCAGTGTGCCAAAGTGTTCCCATGTGGGAAACTGCTCATGGAGAGCTCTTCTCCCCTTCCCCAGATAAGCCTAGTGCAGGTAGCAGCATTTCCTGTCCAGTAACATAAGGCTTTCCAGACTAAGGCTTTTTTGTCTCTTTGGTTTTCTAACCTTCTGGCTCTCTGTGTCTTTCCTCTTTTCTCAGAAGGATCGCGTGTGTGGTGTTTTTTGGCTGGCTGTGCTGGTGCGCTTCCAGCTCGAGTGTCCACCTCCCCCAAATTCTGAGAAGTTCTGTCTTAATACGAAGCCACTGAACAATAACTTTCTTTTTAAATACAGAAGAATCTTACCGAAGGAAGATAAATTTTTCCTGCTTGTAAATATAAGCACACAAAAATACCTTCTGCTTGTTTCTTTTCTAAATGTATTGAGAGTCGTAATAATGAAGTTTCTGTTTCCTGTTGGTTAAGAAGTGTGTATGTGAAGGGATTGGATTATTTCCATGGATGTATATTTCTATTCTTTCAGTATGAGCAGTGCCAGTTCAGAGAATAATTGCAAAACCAGGGGGATGGTGACTTATTTGTGGAGCCCTTAGCCAATAATTGGTAGCAAATTCTATGGTGCATGTTGTTAAAATGGGCTCTTCTATATTTCAGTATGGATTACTGAAAGTATCTAGCAATGGAATCAATACCTTCAAACAATGTTCTGGTTGCACAACTGATAATTCTTCAGTTGCAGGGTTTTCATGCGTTTTCAAGTGATTTTTTTGTTGTTGTTGTTTTTTTAATTTCCTCACAAATGTACTAGCATTACTTTCATGGAAGTAAGCATCAAGGACAACAGGGTTTTTTGTTGTTGTTTGTTTTTTTTTTTTTTTTTTGGAAAGATTTGCTAATATTTGTCTTCAGAACTTGTTGTATCTTTTGTGATCTGGCCTGGTTTCTGGTTGATTGGGTTTCTGTGTGCATGTTTCTTAGACAAACCTACAGCTTTGCATTTGTTGTTTGCCATTGGTGGTGTTTTTGTTGCTTTTTGTTTTTTATTTTTTTTATTTTTTTATTTTTTGCTACAATAGTAATATTGAAGAGTTTAAAAATCTGTTTGTTTTATATTCAGTATTTAGCAGACTGGGTTAAGATTTATATTAAGCTTAAGGGATGTTCATTTAATTTTTCAAATGGAAACCTACCAGAAGTGGCTTTTATTCTCTGTCTCTCTCTCTCCTCCTTAAGCACAGAGTATCATATCTAAAATTATGAAGAGTATAAATGTGGAAATGTTAAATCTTTTGTTAATGGCTTCGAATTAAGCACACATTGTTGCAGATGATTTGGAGGACTTATTTAAAGTAAATATACAATTTCAAGCTCAATTATCATTCATAGTTTAACTACGCATAGTGAGGTATTAGGTCTGTGAATTTGATACAGTGTTACTTCATAATTATGATGCTTTTTTTACAGTAAATTTGATATAGAACAGTTGCTAAAGGAAAGCTGCTGAATAGTGTGACCAAACATTTTATGGAACACATCTGGTGAATTAGTTCAGGATGTGCCCTGCATAAGAACAGAGCCTTTTGCACAAAACGAGAAGGAAGCTAACTCCACATGTATATGTTTTGCGGACATGAGAAGAGTTTAAACAATTACTAGTTAATTGTGTAAGCTAAGAGGAGGGGTGCTCGTCATGTCATTTCAAAATAGCTCCAGAGGAAATAGATGAGAATTATTGTTTTAAAATCTCAAATGAATGGTTTACACCTGTTAATGTTACATTTAGAACAGCTGTTTCTTTTATTATCAGTAAACAGATGCAGAAAGTAATGGAATGTTTTAAAGCA